AGGTTTGATGATCAAAAACTCTTTACCAGTTCCAACAATTTCTCATCTTAAATTCCTTTAAAAAAATCTATGTTGGAAGTTGCAATTGCCTTTAGAACCATTGCCTTTTTTTGTGAAGTGAGGAATTTTAGGGAAAATAGAATACCTTTTGTTACAGGAAGACATTAATTTTGAGTATGTGATATTGAGATGTCCTTCGAGGCCCTATATTACTGTCCTGGCAATTTGAAATTTTGCCAAGAAAAGTATTGGGCTTAGAGTATGATGTGTTGGAAGCAGTGCTGGACTTTGTACTTGAGCAGCTGGGTTGGCATAGCAGATAGAAGGCTGGCCTTAGAATCAGGAAGACCTGAGCTCAAATCTTGCCTCAAACATTTACCAGCTGCATGACCTTGGACAAGTCACTTAACCAGTGACAGCTTCAGTTTTCTGATCTGTAAAATGAACGGGTTGGACTCAGTGGCCTCTGTGGTCTCTTCCAGTTCTCAAGGAGTTGTTATTCTCCTATGAATTCTACCTGTTTGAGCTTAGTCAAGTCAAGAGAACTCTCTAAGCCTCAGTTTCCTGTTCTGTACAATGAGGTGATTAGACTGCATAAACTCTAAAGTCCCTTCTGGTTCTAAGTTCTAGCATTCTATCGTCCAGGGTCAGGCCAGTGAAAATCATCAGTATGGACCCAAAGCCAGGTCTGTGAAGGTGCCTTGGGGTCATTCCATTGAGGACAACCTTAATCTAGATTTGCACAAGTGTTAGTAACTTAGATGGCCTACTCATCATTCCCCAGCCTGCCCATTTAATGATATAGTATAAGGTAGTCTAATGCCCCCCAGAGTATAGCTGAATGTCTAGAAGTCAGTAGTCTGATGTTTTTGTGATCAGAGTGGGCTTATGTGTCACGATGTCACTTTCTGGAGTCAGGAAGACCTGAGTTCAAACCTAGCCTCAGATACTTACTAGTTGTATGACCCTGGGGGGAAAAAATCACTTGAGTTGTTGTGAGGTTAAAAAGATTTGTAAAGTGCTTTGCAAACATCAAAGTGCTATATAGATGTAGGCTATTATTATTATTAATACAATAATATAGTTATCAGATCCCAAAGAACTGAGCATGTCTGAGGAGCTCCCCAATTCCTCATCTATCTGTATCTTAGGCCTTAGTTCTTCTACAACTGAGTAATCAGTTTTTGTATTATTTAGGTTCAGGTGTCAGTTTTTTCTTTCATCTATTCCTGTTTTTAGGCGATTGGCTTTTCATTGTCACCATCCCTTCTATCCAATAGCAAATAGGCTTGTGCTAAAAATTTTCCCATGGGAGAAGAGGTTGAAACTAAAATGCATTAGCTGTGTATTTCGTTTCTCTCTCTCTCATCCCTGTTTTTGATTTATGAGATAATTGAGAGATGACTGTAAATGTAGAGAGCTGAGGAGTCACAATGCTGAGTTTCAGAGGTTGGAGGCTTCTGAAAGGGGATGTGAAAAGACGGGCTGCCCTTCATCCTATCTAAGACAACTGTCTTGCTGGGGTGGGGTGACAAGGTGGGAAGCTCTCAAGTTTTCATGTTTTTACTCTCCTAGGCTCCTTTTCCCTTTGCCTTTTCTATCCTTCTCTACTCCAGGCATACTTGGTGCCATATTGACCACCAGGCATGCTAGAAATGTGCCCAAGAATAGCAAAAATGAATCAGGTAAAAAGCCAAAGCCAATTTGGCTTCTATTTGTGGAAGCTAAACCCTCCTCATATAACTCTGGGCAAGCCACTCAGTTTCCAAAATCAGGAGGTTGAGCCAGATGGCCTCAGAGGTTCTTTCTAGCTTGAGAGCTGTGATCCTATGAAATAATAATAATAATAATAATAATAATAATAATAATAATAATAACAATAACAATAATAATAATAATAATAATTTATATTTTACGTAGTGCTTTCAGGTTTGCAACACCCTTGACACAGATTGCCTCATTTGAGTGGCAATAGATTGCTCCTTGAGTGCAGGAACACTTTTTCGTTTTGTCTTGGTCTCCAGCATGTAGCATAGTGCCTTGCATGTAGTAGGTGCTTTTTGTATGAATGTGCTTCCCAGCAACCTGTGAGGCAAGTACCACGGATATAATCATCCTTATTTCATAATGAGGAAACTGAGGCCCAGAGAGGTTCAGTGATTTGCTCACCATCACACTGTGATTGAGTGTCAGAGGCAGGATTTGAAACAAGTCATCCTGACTTCAGGGCAAGCCCGCTAGCTTTTTAGATTGGTGCTGCATGGGCAGGCGATATTAGAAACCATTTGTTTGGGGCAGCTAGGTGGTACAGGAGGTCTAGAGCACTGGGACTGGAATCAGGAGGACCTGAATTCAAATCTGGCCTCAGACACTTACTGGCTATGTGACCCTGGGCAAGTCACTTAACCCAGATTGCCTTTCCCTCCACACTGAAAAGAAACCATTTGTTTCTGTGCATCAGCCCATAGTATGATATCTTCTGTTTTTGACCTCCACACTTTCTTTCTGTTTAGGCTTTCCCAAGTTAAATTTTGTATATAGTCACATACAACATAACTCTATGTCATAAGGCAAGATTCTGTTTAAATTAATTTGTATAATGTTTAAGAGATAGTAAGTAATCCAAAAGAAATATTTGTATCTAAATATTTTAATTTAAAAAAAAACCCAGGATGTTCTAAAAGTCTTAGTTCAATTTTAAGCCATGAAAGCTATATTTGTAGCATTAAAAAAAAACACCTTTTCTGTATTTGAAATTTATGTGAAAAATATAAATAGTACTTCTATATATCTGAACCAGTATTTAATAGAAATTATTTGTGTGTGGGGGGGGTAGTGTGACATGCTGGTAATATACCACCTACTGGATTTGAAGTCAAAGGACCCATGTTCAAATCCTGGCCCTTACTATCGTGTGATCTTGAACAAATTTCTTAAGCTCTAGTCCCCTTCTGTAAATAAGAGGTTTGGACTTAATGCTCTCCAAGGTCAATTTTTAGCTCAAAATCTTCAATCTTATATGGACCACCCACTATTTGGAGATTCATTGGTTTTAATGTCTTATAGCTTTTCTATTACATATTTTATAGCTAAATGTTGCTATTATTTTGTATATCACATCAACAAATCAATCAGTTGTGTCCAGTGCCTGGCATGCAATAAGTATTTAATGCATGCTTGATGATTGATTGATATGGTTTCCCTTTTCTTTTCCATTCCCTTCTTTCTCTTCTCTTGTATAGCTAATATGTGAAACTATATATATTTTGTGGGAAAATAGTATTATGTCAACATTTTAAAATTTATTTGGTAGTTGGCTTTTATAAAATTCATTTTCCTTGATTTTAAATTCATGTTTTCATTCAGATTATAATTGATGAAAGGCGGGTAGTAAAGGAGATAGGGAGTAGGATTTGGTATTGGAAGACCTGTGTTCAAATTCTGTTTCTATTATTGCCTATCTGTAATTTTGGGCGAGTCACTTCCTTGGCCATCAGTTTCCTCATCTATAAAATGAAGAGATTGAATCAGAAGATATCCCATTCCAAATCCTATGCTCTCAATTATTGTATTTTCTGAATCCAGTTATTCTTTTATAACTATAAAAATCCTCTGTGTGTGTGTATGGGGGTGAAGGGTGATATGGGTCTGTGGTTTCATCACTGTAAGGTACTCCTTGCTGTAGAGGTCAAGACGCATCAGTAACTTAGTCTTTAAAGCTTAAAGTCTCAGAGAGCTGGACTATCAATGATTTAAAAGAATTGAACTTGGAGTCATGAAGACCTATGCTCAAATGCCCCTTTAGATACTTACTAGCTGTGTGACCGTGGGCAAGTCACTCTTCTGTGCTTCACCTTCCTCTTCTGTAAAACAAAAGTGTTGGAGTTGGCCTCTCAGTTCCCTTACAGCTTTTAATTTGTGATCCTGGGACTTATTTTTATGTTTTGCTATTTATTACCCCTGTGACCTTGGGCAACTCACTAAATCTCAGTTTCCTTATTGGTAAAGTGAAATGAGTGAACTAGACTCTGAGGTCCCTTCTACCTCTAGATGCATGATACAACGCTAAAATACAAAATTAAAATGTACAAAGCAACAACGTAATAGGGGGAGGGAAGGAAAAAAAGGAGAAAAAAGAAAAATTATTATATATAAATTATATATATATAATATAAATTTATTGTATATGTTAATAGAACAGCAAGTTGTACATAGTAGATTTTCAATTTCGTGTGCAATCTTTTTTTTTATTATACTATGTCATAGAAAAAAACTTACATAAAAATTTTGAAAAATGCTTTAATACTTTAAAACAGAGGTGTCAAACCAGGCCTAGTAGGTATTGAGGCCTGCAATGTTCCTAAGTGGGGCCCAGACCAGATTAAAATGTAATTGGGAAATATTTAACAAAAATAAACAAAAATACAATCGAACATGGATGATGTTAATATGTGGTTTTCTAAGTCAACATGCAGCATGAAGGGATCCTTTATGTATGGTTTGGTGGCCCCTGTTTCTAGTTCAGTAAGGCACCACTGTTTTAAAACACTCATATTTTCCTTATGATACCACAAAAAAAATTGTAATTTATGTGGAAAGGCCCCTAAAACATTAGTACTTAAGGGACTCAACTCCATCATAGGGTTCATTCCTATTTATCAGAGACAAGAAGTCATCTTAGAATTTAAAACATAGACAGCTGGAGTGCATTAACTGCCCTCTTAGAGGTCCCCAACAGCTTGGTTGTGGACTGGACTGGGTGGTCTATAAATTACCTTTTGGGTCTAAAATTCTGTGAATCAGCTCATCCCACTTAGGATCCTCCCTGGCCCCTGGAGCCCTCCTTCACCTCTGGAATGTCCTGTGCAGTGTAGATGTTTTTTCCTGGTCCTCTGTAAAATGTTATGTCTCCTCCGGCTCATCTATGTTACTTAAACATTGTTTGCACCACAGGCTGGATTTCAACTGTGCATCTTCTCACTTTTCTTTTTCCCCCCCAGAAAGTAACAGGGGCATCTGGTGGCGTCTTACCCAAAAGGAGGAATCCCAAGCTATTCTTAGGTATTGTAAATGGCTGTTTTCCCATAGTCCTTCTAAGCTGTCTTGTGTGTGCCTTTTATCTGAACTTGTGTTATGGTGGTTGCTTTGACGCGGATGGAGGAAAGAGGCAAGCTTCATTCTTTCTGCTGATTTGACTCCATTCCCTTTTTGGTTCCAATCAGTGGGGAAGGGAGCTTCATGATATTATAACAATAATAACCCATTGACAAAGTGCTTTAAGATTTGCAAAATGCTTTCTTGTATTTAATAACAACAATAATAACTTGCATTTACCTAGAGCTTTAAGGTTTGAAAGCATATATACGTGTAATCTCATTTAATAGCATTTAACATTTGCTAAGTATTTAATAATTACTGCTCTGAGAGGGATTTGAGCTGGCCTGGTTACAGTTTGTTTTTAACTCCTTTTAAAGAGAGCTCTGGGAGTTGCTATTCACCAGGCCTGGTTTCTGATGTGTGTAATCTTGGCCAAATTAAATTTGATTTAACAGATTTTGATTTAATACCTCTTCTGTATAAGACACTGCTTAAGCTTTTCCTTCAACTTCTCCTGGTGTAGTTTTCCCAGGGCATACAATGATGAGATGCTTTCCTGTCAGAACTTAACTAGGGTGGGGCAAGTAGAGTTCTGCCCCAGAAGGTGGTGACAAGGGTTTCAGCAGTAAATACACAACAACTTAGCAACTGGTTGGTAAGGATAATTAATTAAAATCAGAAGCTAGTAGATGATATGCTGGGGTGAGCTCTTTCCTTGCCCTGGCCTGCTTCTTTCCAAAGTCAGTACATTCCAGCATCTCAGGGGCTCTGATCCCTCCCTGCAGGGCAAGGTTCTGTTCCCCTCCACGTCTCACTGGGGGTGCATTTTATGCTTCTTACCTGGGGTGTGGTTTGTTCTGGTTGCCTCAGGTACAAAAAAAATGAATAATTATAGCTCTATTTGCTGTCTTCTTAAGGCCAGTTGTTGTGGGAACTGGTTAATGCATAAAACACATTTTTGTATTATTGTTTGAAAGGCATGGTACCATGAAATGATCATGGGAATGCAAGGACCTTCACTGAGTGGTTTTTTCATCAGGAATATCATTTAAGGACTCAGCGTTGAACCTTATTTACCCCTACTATGTCATTCTCTTGTCTTCTGATTTTTCAATTTGTAATTGATATTTCAATAACAAGTGGATGATTCTCCCATAGTATATTTGCTTTTCGTGTGTTGTCTGAAGTCAGCATTTCTGTGTGGGTCAGCTTTCCCCCTCCTAATGTTCCCCACTCTGTCTCATATCCCTCCACAGATTCCTATCCCCTAACCAGAGGTTCAGGGGACAGCATTTGGACCGGTCAAGTAATGAGAATGAGAGACGAGAGGCAGATAACCCAAGTGTTACATTGGTACCCCTAAGTAAGCAAGAACCAGAGGAGGGCTTGTAGGAGGATTTACACAAACATCGTGGATGAGAATATAAAATAGAGAAAGAAGGAATGTGGAGGTTATGATTTGTACCCAAAGTCACAACTAGGAAGAGACAACTTGGATCTTGTGCTAGGACACTAAATTTATGCATAGGAATAACAAGGCTGAGCAGGACCTGATTAATGAGAAGAATTAGTTAAAATAGGAATCTAGAAATGGGTAGTTATTCTTCCTCCCCTTCCCCCACAAACCTGTGGTGGTACCCCAACTGAGCTCCACCCAAGCTTCCAGCAGGGGTCACAGGTGTGCTTTGTTGTTTCTTCCCCCCCCCCCCCCCAAGTATCAAAGTTGCTAGCTATACCCTGGGAACACCGAGGTTGAGAAGATCATGGATCCTTTAATGTGGTAGAGTAGAAAAAGTGATGGCTCTTTTTCCTCATTTGTAAAATAAGGGAGTTGAGCTAAATTGCCTTCTGAGGTTCCTTTCACCTCTACTTGGTGATTTCCTGCTAAATAGCCCCGAGGGGACCTCCTGCCAAAATGAGCTTTGGGAATATCAGCAACTCCCCATTACCGCCCCTAATGGAAGGCTGGCTTTGTAATACAACCTCAAATCAGATTTAGGACCTGTGACTTTTCACATTCGTTATGTGAAATCTGGGTCACTGCCAGACTGAATATGTCCAGCTTTTGGACCTATGTTTATCACTTCCCTTGGTTGAATCAGGATGAGCAAGAGGGACATCAAATGTCAAAGAGCCTGGTGTCTTTGTAAGGATTGTCATGGCAGGGGATATTGTCCTGATGCTCCTGCTGCCATAATATTTCAGAACTAAATGCTGGGATAAGCCCCTCATGGAGTCAGTCTCTAGGAGTCATGCTCACTCTGTGCTCATGGGTCGAGGATGAGCTGCGATGGAAGCTCAGGAATTGATATCTAAAATAATTGTGCTGATCATTATCATAGTCCAGAAGTTAGAGGAAGTAGTAGTTAGCCTATAGCATTGAATGAAAATAAACCTACCACTGAGCACCTATTGTTTTAGAACCCTTTGGGCACTAGGGGCTGTTTTCTTCCTCTTTCCTGGACAATACTTTTTACGTGATTGCTATCTGTATTAATTTTTTTCCTTTTAAAAATTACTCATCTCTACCTTCTGTCACTATATCATGTTTCCTCCCTGGGGGAAACTCCTCACCTACTGAGCATTTCCTCATGATCAAAAAATCAAGCGCAAACATCTGACAGTGCATATAGTATTCAATCCTAGTAGCCCTTTACCTTTCTCCTGTGAGAATGGGGGCATGTTACATTATCATTTTTTCAGAACATGACCTGTTTTTTTTCATTTACTCAGATTTCAGTTTCCTATTCTCGTAATCATTGTGCATATTTTTCCTACTTATTTCACTCTGCATCAGTTCGTACAAGTCTTCCTATGCTTCTCTGAATATCTCAGAGTCATCATTTTTGCTGTATAAAAATATTCCATTACATTCATATGCCATTGTTTGTTCAGCCCCTCCATGGTCAACAGACACCTGATTTTTTTCTCGTTCTTTGCTGGCACAAAGCACTCAATCAATCAAACACATTTATTTAGTGCCTACTGTGTGCAGACACCATTCTAGGTGCTGGGGATATAAACATCATAAATGAAACAATAGCCACTCTTAAGGAGGTTGTTTTCCATTGGGGGAGACAACATATCTATATCTATCTATCTATCTATCTATCTATCTATCTATCTATCTATCATCTATCTATATCTATATCTATATCTATATCTATATCTATATCTATATCTATATCTATATCTATATCTATATCTATATCTATATCTATATCTATATCTATATCTATCTCTATCTCTATATCTATATCTATATCTAGATACATAGATATAGATATATATGTTTATAGATATATAAATATACAGAGAGAAAGGGAGGAGGAAGAGAGAGAGTGGGAGAAAACAAATGCAAGATGAATAGATACAGAGTTAAATATGAACCAGACTATTTACTTTGAACAATGAGCTAAAGTGTATTTCTATAGGATCATAAATCTAGAACCGGATGGGACCAGGGACCTCTGAGGCCATGGAGTTCAGCCACTATGTTTTACAGGGGAGGAGACTGAGTCTCAGGGAGGATGTGACTCACCTGAAGTCACATGTAGGAAGTGTAAGAGATGAGATTTGAATCGTGGTCCTCCAACTTTAGGGTTATTTGCTCTTTTCTCAGGATCTCTCTGATTGGATTCTCTCCAAGAAGCAGGCAAAACAAAATCTCATAATGTCACACGGCTGGACAGGGTTTGCCTGAGTGTGGAGGGAATTGTTGTTCTCTTCCCCCTAGGAAAGCTGCAGTCTGCCCCAGAGCAGGGGTGCAGGAGAGTTGTTGATCTGCCTTTTGGGGGTGGTTTAGTTCTACCTGCTAAGATTGTGTTTTTCTTTAGAATGGAGAAAACCACACACAGCCACCTAGAGAAGTGAGTCATTCTCCTCTGGAGCTGCCTGGGGATCCAATTACTACTCTGTGGTTACCACTTTCACCTGGTAACTGCCCAGGCACATCCTGTCAGGTGTCCCGTCAGTCTGTCCTTCCTCCTGTCTCCCCTCTTGCCATGTCAGCTGCTGTTTCTCATCATCTCATAGCAGACACTTTTCTGTTATGGGGAAGGAACAACCCTATGTTCAACCTAGTGAAATTTGGAATAATAACAGCTGACGTTTTCACTAGCTTTTTCAGGCTGGCAGAGTGTTTTTGCCTATGCTGTCTCCTTTGACCCTCACAACAACCTGGGGAGGTGGGTGTTATTCTTATCCCCATGGTACAGGAAACTGAGGCCTAGAGTGACACACTGGGGGTCTGGGGCAGGATTCAAACTCAGGGCTTTCTGACTCCAAGTCCATTTTTTCTATCCTCTGGGGCTATGCTACCTCTCATGCAAGGAGATAGAAGTTCTTGATTCTTCTAACAAAAAATGCCATTGGGCTTCCTTTCCTTTTTTTTTCTTTCTTTTTTATTGATTAATTTATTTTGAATTGTCACCAATCACTTCCATAAGCTTTTGAGTTTCAAATTTTTCTCCCCCTCCTTCCCCACCTCCCTTTCCAAGATGGCACACAATCTGATATAGGCAATACATGTACAATCGTATTAAACACATTTTCATGTTAGTGATGTTGTAAGTAAGAATTAGAACCAATAGGAGGAACTACCAGAAAGAGGAAACGAAACACAACAGAAGAAAAAAAAATAGCAAATAGTATGCTTCGATCTGCATTCAAACTCCATAGTTTTTGAATGTGGATAGCATTTTCCATCATGAGGCCTTTGGAGATGTCTTAGATCCTTGTATTGCTGAGAAGAGTTAAGTCTATCAATATTAGTCATCGCACAGCTTTCTCCTGGTTCTGCTCACTTCACTCAGCATCAGACCAATGAGTCTTCCCAGGTTTTTCTGAAGGCAGCCTGATCATTATTTCTTATAGCACAATAATATTCCATTACATTCATATACCACAACTTGTTCAGCCATTCCCCAGTTGATAGGTATCCTCTCAATTTCCAATTCTTTGCC